CGCTCGGCCTCGGTCCCGCACCGCCCCGCACCGCCGCAGTGCCCGCGGCACCGGCGCCACCCGGGCCCTCTTAAGAGCGGAGCGGCGGCGGCGGCGGTTCGTTCCCGCGCCCGCTTCCCGGCCGTGCCCGCACCAGCCGGTAAGGGCCGGGGATGCTCAGGGCCGCAGAGGGAAGCGGGGATGCTCGGGGGGATGCAGGGATGCCCGGTGCCGCAGCGGGGACCGGCGCCGCGGGGATGCCCAGCGCAGCCTGCAGGTTGCCGTGGGATGCGGGGATGCCCGAATGGTACCCGGGGCGTGGGGGGGGAGAGGGGGTGCGTGGGGTGCCCCAGACATGAGGGTGGTGAGCCGGTGGCACAGTGGGGTGCGGAAAGCCCCCCCTCCTCCCCGTGCCCAGGGGCTGCCCCGTGTGTGCACCTGAGTCCAGGGGCCACCTCTGCCCGGGGACCGGGAGAGCAGCCCCCTCCTGCTGCCGTGGAGGCGGTAGCCCCGCGGGGAGGTGGGGGGGGGGTCCGCAGCGTCCCCACACAGGAAGCCCCAGCCGTGGGGCTGCAGTGGGGTGGCTCCTGGTGAGGGGCATCTCACCCCGTGGGGGAGACCCGGGCTGGGTGCGAGGGACAAGGACGATCTCTGAGCGAGGAAGGCTCTGGAAGCGTGTGACTGCGCGTGTGAGCGTGCACATGAGTGTGCACGGAGCAGCATCACGCTTCCCACGGCCCCACCGTCGTGCACGCCGAGGGGAGGGAGGGTTTGGCATGGCAACGGCTGGGGAATGCTGGAGCGGGGCGGTGGGCAGCTGGGTGGCATCCAGACCCTACGGCAGCAACCGAAACCCTCGCTGCCAGCCCGGGGGCTGAGGTCAGCACCCGCCACCCGGGGCTCCTTCCTCCCCATGGCCTTGCTCTCTCCAGGCTCAGGTTTGGTTTTGCTCTCATTCAGCTCTCTGCCAGGCTCGGGAAGGTAAGCTTGGAGCTGGGCTGGCTTTGGGGAGCTGGGAGCAAAACCCAGGTGGGCTGCGTGGAGGCAGGGGAGGGGGGCAAGTGCCCAGCCCCCTCCTCGCAGGGCGGTTGCTGGGAGGGTTGAGTCAGGCTGCCCAGTTGTGAGGAGCCACGGGCTCTTCCCAGCCTGTGCCAGCCCTGTCCCCAAAGGGTTGGCAGCGGGAGATGTCAAATTAATAAATATAGCAGGTGCTAGCGGCGAGATGCTGGGCTACAGCAGCGTCACCCATCAGCTGAGCCCTCCCTGCGAAGGAATCTCCTGTTGGCAGAGGGGCACAGAATGGTGGTTGCCCCTTGTCACCCCTTGGTGCTGTGCCCCACCGCCGGCGTGTGCCCATCCCACCTGCCCTCACCTGGGCTGTGCCAGGAAGGCTCAAACCCTGGAAACCTGCTCTCTAAATAAGATAACATATATTAAAAACGCCAAACCGGGCGAGCTGACAGCGTCTGTCTAAATATTTATCCCCGTTCCGATCAGGCACTGTGTTCCCATGACAGTGCAATTAGCATTTTGCATATTTATGGCCTTCCTGGGTGTTGGGCTCCCTCTGCCCCCCTGCCCCGTGCCCGGGGGCCTTGAATCTGCTCTCTTTTCCCGTGCACTCACTCAGTAGAGGTGAGCCTCAGGCTGGCAGCCATCCCCAGCCTGGCACATCCCTGCTGAGCTGTGCTGGAGCTGCCAGGAGCATCCAGGGCTGGGCAGGACTGAAATGCAGCGGGAACAGGCAGGGCAGGGAGTGGGTGCTGCGTCTGTCCCTGCATCCCAGGAGGTACAGCAAGGAGCATGAGGCATGTTTTTCACGCAGGGACATGAGTTCAGGGGACAGTGCGGGCATAACCTGCCCTAAAAACAGGCTCTTCTGCGTGTGAGCACCGGGGGTCTTGGCACCCCCAGGTACCAGGTGATGGGGATGGAGGAGGGATGCTCCAGCTCCCTCCCGCACAGTGCTGCCCTGCCCCGCAATGTGGCCTCACTGGGGCCTCGTGCTCTGGGGACAGCACGTCCTGTGCTGGCTCTGCAGGACATGCCAGGGGTCCCGGCCATCGCGCCCGCCCCATGGCAGCGTGCGGGAGGAGCGTGTCGGGAGGGATTAGGGCTGTGTCTGGAAAAAGGGCTCATTCAGAGCCGGAGGCACGGGGTGGCTCGGTGCGGCTCTCCCCTGGTGCCACTGCTCTGGCAACACAAACAAAACCCTCGCGCTCGGCTGAGCCGCTTCTGCGCCGGCAGCAGCCAAAATCTGCTTTTCGGTTCCCAAATCTGGCAACTCTGCATTTAACCCTGAACTTCAGCGCGTTTGGGTGGCAGCTCACCAACAGGGCTGGTGGCAGTTGCTCCAGGGCTTGCGGTGGCTGCTGGGCTGGGGGGCAGCCTGGGGATGCTGATGTGCTGCCCCATCCCTGCCTCGCTGCGCACACCAGAGTTGGCAAAAAAAGGGAGAAAAAAGGGGAGAAATGATGTTAGAGCTTCTTATGTGCAGCTTCCAGTAGGATTTGTGCTGTCTCCTCTCTGTTGTGCCATGGGGGCCGTGGGAGATGTACTGCCCACAGGGTGACACCCTTTGTCACCTGGGCGAGGATGATCCCCGAGGGGGCTGCAGGGGCAGGGGACACAGGGTATGCTCGATGTTTTCCCCTGCGGTGCCTTCCTAGGGGGTTGCGTTGGGGCTGCAGAGGTTGGTGGCTCCCCAGGCTCACGGGAGTGGTGCCCCAGGTCATGGCAGTGTCCCTGGAGCTGTTACTCAATGGCGTCTGACCTGGCTGAGCACCTCCTGCCGCAGCCTCAGTGCAGCACGGGATGCTGCTGCGGGTCTCGGGGTCGGGGCTGGTCATACACCAGCGGGTACAAATCTCTGCACAATCCCTTAAGCTGTGACTTGGGGGGGACCAGGGAAGGGGCACCTGCTGCCTCATGCCCCACAGAGGCTGCCTTTGGGTTGGGCTCACTTTTCTCTGAATTGGTAGATCCTCTCCTCTGTTCTCAAAATTGGTTTAGGAAAAAAAAAAGGTTTCATGTGAATTTTATTAGCCTTAAGGGTGACAGCTCTTTGACACAAGCTCTTCCCTGCACCCGTGTGGTCTGTCCTCTGTGTCCTGTGAGGGATCAAACATGGGTTTGGCCAGCCCAGCCTCCCCCTGTGCGGTGCTGTGTCTCGCAGCCCCCGGCAGCGCCAGCACGGCCAGTCCTGCCCTCATTCCTCTCCCCCTCCGTGGGGAAAATGGCAACTTCTCTCTCCAGGCTCCCATCCCAGGTGACTGGACCCCATTGGGCTCCTCTCCCGCTCTGAGGTTGTTGTCTGGCAAGTGAAGCAGCTCGTGCCCCTTCCCCTCCACGGTGCTGGGTGGGATTTGCCTCCCCGGGCAGATGCTGTGGGCTGCACGTGGTGTGAGCCTGTCCCCACGGGTGCTGGGGGGGCCAGGCTGCTGCCCTCAGGCTGGCGGTGCCCGTGCCAATGCCCGTCCTTGGAGCAGCCCAGTGTGTCCCGGCGGTCCCTGATCACCTCTCCTCCCTCCACAGGGTTGTTGCCTCCTGTGCCTTGGTGGGACCCGCTCCGTGATGCCACCCCACCCAGCCGCCCTGTGACACAGCCCTCCTCTCCGAGGTGACACAGAAGCTCGAGAGGATCCCCCAGTGGGGACCGGCCCTGCAGCCACCACCTCGTTTGCTCCTGCGCTGGCAGAGCCCAAGGAGGCCGTGCCCTTGCAGGCAGAGGCAAAGGCAGGTCCGGCCACTGGCCCCTGTGCTGGGGCACATGAGGTAAGAGGGACACGTCCCCAACAGGGACCAGGGGGACAGGAGGGGTCTCCCCCACGTCCCCTTTCTCTGGGCAGCAGGGCGCGGTACGTGGGCCTGCGCGGGGTCACCTGTGCTCAGGGTCCCTCAGGGTGCTGCCACATGGCCAGACCCCTGTGTGTCCCCTGCAGAGATGGCCTTCCAGCGGAGCCACAGGCTGAACCTGCTGCGCCTCGTCGTGCTGCTCCTGGTGGCCTTGGCTGGCATCAAGTTCCTCTTCCGTGACAGGTGAGGTGACAGCAGGACCCCAGGCGTGGGTGGGTGGCCTCCATGGTGCCGGGGTCAGTGGGGTGCCCTTGGGTCATGCCCACATGGAGGTCTGGTGCTGGGGGACAGCTGGTGCCCCACTACCCCACGGCACCCCCAGCCCTGATCTACTCCCTCCAGCTTTACCCTGGAGCTGCACAAGCACGTCAGCAAGGACAGCGGGTTCTGGGGGGACGTGGGTGACACCGGCCCCGAGAGCCAGGCTGTGAAGATTCCTGTGGCAAAAATAACAGCCCCAAGGCAAGAGGCTGGGCAGCAGGTCCCCCGGGATGTCAGCGCCACCGAGATGAGGCTGGTCCACCTGGACCTCAAGGGAGCTGCGCCCAGGGTCTCCTACCTGGAGCAGGTGAGGATGTCTGGGGACTGGTGGGAGATGCTGGGGAGGGACCAGCAGAGGTAGAGCAAGGCTGTCCCCCAGGGGGCTCTGCCATCCCCACCAGCTGAGCCCACCCTGCCTGCCCTGCAGGTGTTCCCCCTCCTCTCCCAGCTGGGAGCCAACGGCATCCTCATCGAGTACGAGGACATGTTCCCCTTCAAGGGAGAGCTGGAAATCCTCAAGTCCCCGTACGCTTACAGGTGAGCTGGGGCTGCATGCTGAGCTGGCCCGGGGGCTACCCACTCAGTGTGGCCCTGGCAGGTCCCGGTGAGCAGGAGGCTGGCTGTGACCCG